TTTATATATAAAACACAATCTATCTCCGTGATTGGTCAGCGGGTGATATTCGGACTCCTCCCTCCCTGTGGATCATTCTGCAGCCGGCGGCCCGGACAGCGGAGCGTTTTTTCGGGCGAAGCAGCGAGAGAAGGTTCGTAAGAACAAACCCTCCGTGTTTTTAATTCTGTCTGTAAGAAAACCTGCAGCATCGAGCGTGTGTGACGCAGCTCCGTGTCCTGTGCTGTGTGTGTGTGGCCCACAGGAACCTGCCAGGCCCCAGGATGAGTCAGCTGAAGGAGCGGTTCGGGTCCGTCCTCCACGAGAAGAACTTTTTCACCGAGCTGCTGGCGACGCTGGAGCAGAAGAGCGGGGTGAAGAGGGAATATATCAGCCTGGGTATGTTCACAGCTCCCAGACCAGTGGAGGGGGAACTCGTTTTAACCTTCTCTCAATGTTTACGTGTACTTCTAACACGCTAGATGAAAGTTGTTGAACCCGGCTCGAGGCCTCGACGTCTCCTTCCAAACACACGAAGCCAGCGGTGGTTAGTTTAGCTGAAAGTCACCGGACTGTTCGCTGTGGTTCCATGTCCTCGTTTTTATCACCACACTCAAATACCAAAGTTCACATTCGAAAGATTGGAGGCTGCTGTTTAATCTGCCTTGCACGATTCACTTATGGTAGGTTTCCTCGTGCAGTGGAGTTTGCTCTGGTGTTTTTGGGTGCAGGACACTGAACACAGTAAGTAGAATAGAGATTATAAGTGAAAGCTTGACACAATAAATATACAAGATACACAAATAAACACGTGTCACCAAGAGCTGTGAGGGACTAAATGTGCAAACTAAGCAAGTCAAATGGAATTGCAAAGATGGAGTGTGCCACGTTTTCATCATTTCATTATTGCAAAACTATTATCTACCCACAAATTCCTCAAACATTTGCAAAACTGTTCCTCATGTCTGCCGTCAATGGCCCGAGGGAAGTGTGGTGTCACAATTCAATACTAAAACATTCAGTATTAATAAAGTTTGAATAAACAGGCGACCGGTGCTTCTTCTACTTCATCAGGTAAATTCCAGCGATAGTGAACAACCGGGTCAAACTGCAGGTCATAAATCGTCATCAGATCACTTTGGTAGTCTGGAACATTTTTAAGTTAACTGTGTCAGACTGACGTAGACGTTCTCAGGCGTGGTGGTCCCTTCAGTGAATCATTCAAACTTGTACATGAGCCACACACAAGCAGTAATAAAGCAAATTCAGTTTCGTTCTATTAAAAATACTGAATTTAAAATCATCGTTGCGGATAAACCAGGTTGAATGCAAAGTTTTCTAACTTCACTCTGCACCATAGACTGTTTAAAAAAACGTTGTGCACAAAGCGTCCTCGCATGGAAACAACAAATAAGCGACAGTATATTGTAGAAGTGTTTGAGGAGGACTCACTAATGACAAGGAATAATTCTGAAGTAGCTCCGAAGCGTAACCACAGGCCAAGAGAACAGCCTGTTCCATGAATGTATGTTTAGACTGGGCACTGCACTAGTACATGATAATATTGAATGAACTGCCTCTTGCTATGTCAGGACCACCACCACCCGCCCAGCTCCCAGGGGTATTTTTATCACGTCCTGAAATATCCAAAGCCAGGCTGAGACATTCAGGGTGACTGGTTATCCAACCGCAGGCTGCTCTCTCTGTTACCTCTCAAAAGTCGCCTTTTGACAAGACTGCTCTGTAGTCACTTAGCACATCAGGAGTCAATAAAGACCGAACCCCTCAGGCTACATTGGCAACATGTTGTGTGCAAAGACTACAGGAAACACGTTAGCTGCGGTGACCTACATTCAAACTAGTGTTTGTTTGCTTTTTACTCAGAGTTGATCTGTGTTGACAAGCGAGCAACGCACATTTTCATTAAAACAAACCGATTTCAATGTCACAGATTGTGTGAATGTTGATGCCGTCTGTGAATTGTTTTGTCTGTTTTGGCTGCATTCAGATATGGATCAAAAGCCTGTTTGCAAATACGCCTGAATATTTTCATTATTTTCAGCTAGAGTTTAATAGGTCAAACATATCACTCACAAGACATAACCCCAATATTGTTGTGTGACTGATTCCAGGCTGGAAGCTGGCAACCAGGAACTGGTTCAGACTCTAATCAAAACAAAAGTTAGTTTGTAGACTATTCTAAACTACCCCAGCAAAACATTTCTGAACTGCAACTTCAAGGCTCTTATTATCCGACATTTCCTTCATTAGTGATGTATGTTTTATAAGATGATTACACCTGATATATTAGTCGATTAATAAAACACTTTAATACAAACAAAAATGTCAGTTTAGCAGATTCTGTCTGTGTCGTTTGGAGCTCACTCAGATCTGCTTATAAAAACACTGGTTTCATTCCTCATACACAAGCAAACTGGCTCGCAAAGCAAATGCCACTTGACTGGTCTGTACCCTGCAGTTAGCCAGAGGTAGAACCAGACAAATTATACCTGTCTGCTCACCTACCTTTGTTATTGAGGCACACTTTGGCCACACTGCAGGTTTGTCACAAACATGTTCACTGATAATGGTTTGTGTCCAAGAAATTCCTTCCACGTTGGCTCACCTAAACATCATGTTGTACTTTGCCTTGATCCAGTCATGTCAGTTGAACAGTTATAAAACAGTGTGACCGGCCTTAGCTGAGAAACGTCTCGGGTTCATGCTGACTCCTGTGGCACAGGGAAGTGTTAAGACTCAACTGCTGACTGGAGCGGAGAGGCCTCTTCTCTGCTGTGTGTGCAGCCAAACTCCCTGAGCGACTGGTTGTTAGTGAACTTGAACTTCATGTTTTCTAAATCTTCCCTCTCAACAGCAGCTTTTTGTGGCGATTCAATGTTTAGAGGAACTGGACTTAAATTAAAAGGTCATGCAACTCTGTGATGAGCAGTTACAGTCATACAGTGCATTATAGGATTTAACAGCTGTACAATGGCGTCTTTATCTTCAGTCTATTCCTGAAGAGAGACATGTTTTGTTAATGCTGTGGTTATGCATCATGTCACATGAATGTATTTGTTTTTCATTTCTTTTAGAGCAGTGCAGGGGTTGCTTACAGTTTTGAACCAGATGGCATGCATGTTTGGAGATGTGTGTGATGGTTTAAAAAAAAAAAAAAAAAGACCCTGATGTCAGCTTCTTCTATGATTTATCACCAGTAAAAAATAATCAATTTATGATTTCCCTATTCAAAGTGTGTGCACATGTCAGCAGCTTTCTCTTCCATTCCAACCAGTTCCTCCAGTTTCCTTCATTAAAGCTGAACAGACGGGGAATCACATGGATATTTGTGTGTGAGCCGGGACAAACAAATGAGATGTAAAGCGCTCAGGTTCAAACAGTACTGAAGGTTGCTTTGGATAGCTGCATGAATAGAGCCCTTTCACAAACATGTCAGCAGCTGCTTTCCAATATGAAAAGCTTTTATTTTACTCTACGACAAATGGAGAAAAGAGAAGCATACTCACGTCTATAGGAGAAAAGATATGTTCTTAATGTACGTTCCAGATATTTGATTGCATTTGTGTTTACTTTTTATTAAGTTATTAAAAATAAAGTTAGCGACGAAATTGTAAAATATCAAGCCTTTAATTACATTTCTTTGTCATAAGGGTTTATTAACGACATCCTAGGATATATCAGCATCCGCCCCCATACATCCACATGGCTCTACTCCCATCACACACACTGTAATAGTAAAAATTGTTTGTTAGCAGTGGTGTTTGTGGAATCTTTCACATACATGAGATGTGTCAGTCACAGGAGTGTGTGAGCTTTGTATGCTCTTCCACTGAAGGATTGTATTTCAGTGTTTGCCTTGTGTGTGGGCCTCCTCCTGATCCTGGTACTGTGCAGCCCTGACATCCTGCTCTCAGACAGTAGGCTGAAAACAAACGAACCTGACATTAGACATGTTTGTCAGGTAACAGGATAGCCTCACCCTCATCTTCCCGTCTGGCCGTCTGTTCTCACCTCAGTGCTGCTTCTCATCTTACTCCCTCTGCAGGTGCGCTGAGTTTCCTCGGGCTGTACCTCCTGTTTGGATATGGAGCATCGCTGCTCTGCAACCTGATTGGCTTCCTCTATCCAGCATATTTCTCGTATGTATGACGTTTCAATAAACACCAAAACAAAACTAGGTGTAATAAATCAACACATTGTTAACATTCAGTGGAGGTCTGTATCATGTGTAGACTGTTTAGAAATGGATGTAGACTCCGAGTCCAGAATTTGAAGTCAATACAGAAGTGCCTGAAACTTGTATTCTGTTGAATGACCAGCAGAGGGCAGCTGCAAAAGGAAGTCTGTGAGAAAATGACTCCACTTCTCACTTGATTTATAACGAGAGTAAAACAAATTGTAAAGAGGTTATGGTATTAAAATCTGATGAGTTTTAATTCTGCTGGACTGTTTACATTGTGACCTTTTCACTCTCCTTAATCAAACATGTCCTCCCGTTCAGCATTAAGGCCATCGAGAGCAATGTGAAGGAGGATGACACCCAGTGGCTGACCTACTGGGTCGTCTATGGGCTCTTCAGCATCGCTGAGTTCTTCTCGGACATCTTCCTCTCCTGGTTCCCCTTTTACTATGCCGGCAAGGTAAGCTGACCTTTAAGCCAGTACAGTGTTTTTCTTTTGGTGATATTTGGTACCAATTTCTTTATACTTTAACTCTCTATCCGCTCTGTATGAAGTTAACAACTGACCTTAAGTCTGCTCTCACTGTGAAACCACAAACAGTCATGCTGTGTTGAATCCTATGGTTGAATCACATGAGGTCCGAAGTCTGTGTGCCTCCCTGCATCACAGCCTGCCAACCACATTCTGGTGGGCAGTTTATGAAATGTTGAAATGAGGGAAATATTCCGAAACCACTTCCTTGTTTTGACACGTACATCACAATTCTTATCAGTTTTGATAATGCAGTGTAAAAGGGAAAATATTACGTCAGTATGCAGAAGACAACAGCTTTTTGAACTAATGCATTTTACAGAGTAAGAAGAGGAACTGCGCACAGCAGCAAAATATAAGTATGAATTGTGAATGGCGTTGAAGAGGTCCCTTAAAAATACGTTGGAAAAACTGGCGCTCATACCTCATCCCAACGTCCAATCTCCCCATGCTTAAAAAAAAAAAAAAAATCCTGTATCTGCCCATTTATCCAGATCAGATTTAGCATTTTATTTGGTTATTTAGTCGTGACATGTGATGGCTTCCGGGTCCAAGCTCTGGTATTTTGAAGATACCATAGTGATGTGTTATTCCGCCACCCCAGATGGTGGAATAGATTAAATACGATGCAAAACAGAGTTGATCTTTTGTCGGTGTATGCTAACGTTGGCTAGATTTAGCTCAGCAGTACTGAAGCAATAACTCGGTGAAGATCAAAATTAGGTTGAAGACATGAAATGAGTTGAGACAAGTGTTCTCTTGCTCAGCTGGAAAAACAAATTTAGTCTCTTTTTGACCCTAATTGCTGCCTCACTGAAAAAAGATGTGATGCTGAATAAATTCATACGTTCTGCCATTGTTGTTCGCTTGCTACCTGACTGTTTGGACCCAGATATGGATATTACGTCATTGGAGACGTCACACTTAACAAGCACATGGGTTCTTCTTTTTCCTGTGGTATCAACTTTGATATTAATAATCATGCTATTTGAATATTATTGGTACTGACGTCTGAAGGTCTGGCTCATCCCCTGTTACTGCAGACAGGAAGTTACAGCAGCCAAATATCTGAGATCTGCCATCTGCTCCTCCATCAGTGTTTGTTCCTGGTGTGGTGTATGGCTCCAGTGTCGTGGAACGGATCCAACATCTTGTACAGTCGCTTGATCCGGCCGTTTTTCCTGAAACACCAAGCCGCGATGGAACACGCCGTCAGCGATCTGACTGCCAAGGCCAAGACCATCACTGACGCCGTTACAAAGGAGGGTGAGACAACCACAGTGTACATGTTAGTATAGCCACACTCACATAAAGTATGTCCTGCAGTCTCACAGCAGACAAACTTGTGAGTGACCTCACAATTTCACACTCTAAAAATACATCATCGAACACAGTCATCAGTTGTATAAATGAATCAGTTTTTTATCTTTTGGCAAAAAAATGTGTTTTTCTTCCTCTGTTTGTTTCATCAGCTGTTAACCAGGTCCTCAACCATGACAAGAACCAGTGAGACACATTGGAAGGCCTTGTGTGTTTGTGTATGCACGTATTTGTGTAGTTGACTAAGAGACTGTGTGTTTGTTTGTCCGCTCCCTTCCATGACGAATGATGACGATCCCCCCCCGTCATGAGGTGAAATGAAGCTTCACACTCATCCATGTCGCTTTACTGCCATGTGCACTGCTAAGACAATCGGTGAAACTGTGACATTTTTATGAGATCTTATTTTCTTTGTTGTTGTGTGACACTAAGTGGGAAGATGTGGGGTGATTGTGTACCAGCAGGTTTCAGCAACACTGCTGATGTCGTCATTATTTTGTCTATTTGAGCTGTTTGAGACAGAAAACTGACACTGATACTCTCACAGAAGGAGATTGCCTTAAAATCAGAATTTTCTAACATTTTCTAACTTTTACATGTCGTCAGTGTCTGCATCGCTGTTTTAAACACCTTATTGTCACGTGTGCCAAGCAGAATGTGAAATGGTTCTTACCCTGTCTAACTGGAAGACTTCTGTCTGTTGATATGTCTTAATTTATCAAGTCAAGGTGTTGAAACAGTAAAACTGGAATCATGTCAAACTGAAAATAATGTCTTTGTGTCTGACTCTAAGCTTTCAGATTCATTTCGGTTTCTTCTGGGGCCGTCTAGTCAAGCAGTCTCGTTCCACACAAATTGGGGAAATGGGATTTTTTTGGGTCCAAATTACAATGTTCATGCACCACTGATTTCTGTAATTGGGTTTTATAGCAGAGGCGAGTCGGGGAAATGGTATTTCGGGATCCATAACCTCTGCGGGTTGGATTCTCGTTCATTTTTTTAGCATAACATTTTTCCTGTTCATGAACTTTATCTGCAGGAATTGTAAATGAGCCATAATTTCTTGCTCTGTCTTGAGACATTTCAATAACGTCTCAAACGATTTCCTTTTTTTTTATTGTTAAACATCTCTAAACCAATATTTAGCTTAAAATACATATTTATCACTTATTTTGCAGATGCAGTTGCAGATAATTTGCTATTTAAAATTGCAGTTATTTTCGTTGTGATTTCTTTCAAACAAAATACAAATGCCATGCCCAGTTTCCCTCCCATCTAACATATCCACTTGATCTTTTAACCTGTCACCCTCGAGTACATTTACCGGCTTTCAGACAGCCTAACCACCCACACATTAATTTATGTTTGGCTCTGTATTCACGCTTGAGGGGCTCTGAAAGGGAGGCTCTTTTGTGTTCGTGCACTGGATGTAATGCATGGGAAATGGTGGACGGAGCTGGTGTGATGGTCACACACCGCCACAGGGAAAGGAAGGCCCCCATCTGGAAATGGCCGCTGTGAAGATGTGTTTGTCACGTTTCCCATGAGCCACCAGCAGCCGACTTTATTGATTTAACAGGAACGGGACACAGAATCCAATGATTACTCTGCGTACTACAGGCACACTGTAGTGGTTTGGCTGTTAAGGCGACATTCATTTCTATATTAGGTCTCTAAGATTTAAGAAAAGGTCACTCGTAAAAATCCTGCAAATTTAAAATGGGTTTAAAACATGTTTAATCCGCTTTGTTTATGGGACTCTTGGAACTATGTTTTATTTCTGGGCATAAAATAAGAATCAATGAAACTCTGCTTTTTGAAATGTAGTGAAAAGTAACTCAGGATCTGCTCTTGAGTTGGTTTTTAAAATATTTCCCTACAAGATGAGTAAATTCTCTCTGTAGTCATACTTTCAATTGTTGGTACCTTTCCAATGATGGGCAGATGGTTTTGTCAACAACAATTAAAAGGTAAGTAACTGAATCTTTTACATGAATTTCAGAAATTGAGCAAACGTAACAGTTCACAGATGTTTACATAAAACCCAGAGCCATGTAAAGAAAACCCAAAGGTTTCCCTTTAGGAAAGTTTTCCTCCAGCGCCATCAGCTGGTCAAATAACACATTTTAATCTATGCCATTATACCTGTAGATTGAATATATTCCTGCCTCTACTGTACTTTGTTATCTCAATACATTTGGAAAATCTTAAAAAGTAGTGAATTCAGTTCACAGTTATAGAAAAGTCTCGATTTTTGTTGAAGCTACATTAAGTCAAATATATTTTCTTTTTTCTGCAAGCAGTAACATTAGGCATTAACAGTTTGTGTTGGATGTGATTGCAAGGCGTTCTTATACACCTCGTAAAGGTAATTGTTAAACCCTGTTTAAATGTGATGAATTATATATATATATATGTGTATATATATATATATATATACGACTCCAATCGGTATTGGAGTTTGAAAATGTGTCAAAAAAGGTTTAAGTTCAATTTGGTGAGCAGCAGACACCTGATTTCTGCTAATTTGCTTATGTTAGCAATTTCAGGCTACAGGTTAATGTAATATTTGATTTACTTACACATTTTAACCTGTGTAACATGTGTGAGCATGGTTGAAAGAGCTATACAAATAAAATACATTCTTATTTATTAATGTTTTGGTTGTTATCATGCTAATGTTAGCATTGAGATCAAAGCAGCATTGTCTTTGTAGTGGCTAGCTTGTTTTTTTTTCAGGCACTCTTAGGACTTTATTGTAGATGTTGGTTTATGTTTTAACCTGATTAATAATAATAATAACTGAATATGTATATCAGGCAGGTTTACAGCCTCTCAGAGCTTCTTGCTCTGTTAATCTTTTGGGGTACACTCAGAAGTCTTGTTGTGAATAATGATTAGAGTCTCTCTCCACTTGTGTCCTGTTTATCTCCTCTGCTCATCATCCCCTGGACTGAAACAATCAATGCTACTTGTAATCACACAGAATGCTGGAGTCTCACTGGCCCCGCCTCCCCTCCCTGCAGAGACCAAGACTCGCCGACAGAGGGAGACAAACACGTGGTTATCTGGATGGATGGAGAGTTGGTGAGTCATACACTGAGCCCGTCAAGTACCAACCACAGCTGAAAACAAGGCCTGCTCTGCCTCAGCACTACGACTTCAGTGGCACTGGGGCTTATTCGCTTTTATATGTGATAATAATTGAATATATTGGAATATCTTCTGTCATGGGTGGAGAATTCCTTCGGGCCTCTTTATAGTTACATACATTTATACGTCTTGTTTGCCAGCTCGTCCAGAATCTGTCCTCTCTTTCCTACTTCCCATCATGTGCATGTAGTTGTGCTCTAACATGTGTGTTGTGAACAGTTACATGTTTCTGTTCATACAAACTGGATTTACATTTCTGTCCATGGGGCTGAAACTCAATGAGGTCGCTGTCCATGGTGCTGATCCTGGATCCAACAACCAGGGATCTCTTCACTGATGAATCTTATTAACCACTTAATTAGAGTGTTTCGGCCCAAATTTGGCCCACACACCACCACACTGTCCTCCGACCCACATGCCTCGTGGAATGATGGCACTTGAGTGGTTGGGCTCCTGTTTGCCAGATCTGGGCCACAAGTTAGCCATAGCAATACTTCATGACCACAAAGAATCCTAGACTTTTTGTTATTCAGGCTGTATTCACCATTTAGTTACACCTTGGCTACCGCGCTGCATGTCTGCCAAAAAAGGCCCTCCATTTGTTTTGCTATATTTGGGCCACATTTGCTATTTTACAAGTGGGAAACTTTAGGCTCACATTCATGTTATCTGGGTCGCACATATCTGTATGCTATCTGGGAGTTAATTTGCCTGATAGTATGTAAACTGTATGCTCCCATTATTCTTATTTATGTCCAAAAAGTATTTTCAAATACATATCTGAGGTGCATAAATGTATCCATGGCTGCAAAATGTAAAATGAGCACCCAAATGATCCAATAAATCCAACAATTCTGGCTTTTTGTTCTCATGAATTCACCGTGGAAAACATCTGCCACAGCCAATGTACTCATCTGTGGCTGCAACATAAACAAAAATCATTTGGAAATTAAATGAGCCTCTGCTTGGGTTACATTTTTGACCGTGAATGTAATTTCATCAGTTGGGCCTCTTTAATTTGATTTGTTGCTCAGGGACCATCAATATTTCTTACTTCCTGATTTCTTAGTTAATATATATTGCATGTAATTAGGCTGTGGCTCTATACATGAATAAGAGAATTAGTTTGTCTGTGCAGTTTCGTGTTATTAATCTCATTTGCTGTCTTTTTCTTGATTAATATGATCTTTGCTATGATCCCATGGTCCATAAATTCCCACAATTGCATCCATCCAGGACATAAATAAATTTTCTTGGGAGTTAGCCTGTTTAAAATGCTTATTTTCGCTGCTATCCAACCACTAGGACGTGTATGAACTGAGAGAAAATCAAGTGTGGACAGAGAAGGGAGAGAGGGCATAGCACCTCCCACGTCCTATCTGGCAGAAAGGGAGAGGGAGAGAGAGAGAGAGGGAGTGAGTCTACTGTGGTGGTGGTGTTAGAAATCGGACGACATGAGCTCTACATGAAGCGCGTAAAAATGCTGTAAGGACGCGTTGTCTTTCATCCGTCTCAACTGAGGACGAGCCTGAAGCGGAGCTACATCCTTCACGACCAGGTATGAAGACGCTCCCTCGTCTACAAACACAGAGAGAGACATCTTTACATGGAGGCTGGATGTTGGTATTCACAGTGGCGTTGCCGCGGCGCTGGATGGATGGATGGATGGATGGATGGATGGATGGATGCTGTGCGCGCACACGATTCCTCCGATCGCTGTATGATAAATTGATAAATCTAATTGCGTATTTGTGGTTGTTGATTCAAACGCTTACCACGACCCGCATTTGCGTTTGGTTACCTCGGTCGTGCGGATTGCATGTATGTATGTATGTGGTGCGCACAGCCATGTTGGCAGGGAGAGGGAGCGCAGAGATGTGAGGGTGTCAGGATTTTCATTTTGCTTTGAGGAGTGAAGGGAGGTGGAGGAGAGAGGAGGTCGCTGCGACGGCGAAATGATGGCACAGCTGCGAGATGGCGATCCTCTGGTATTTATGAATGAACCCGACGGAGTGGGGAGGTCTGTAATGGCGTTGCGCAACAATCTGCGGACCCTTCCTCTCCTGCATGCCACCCCTTCCCATCCATAACACTGCCGAGGCGCAGACGCACTTCAACATTAAACCATATACACTGATAATGACGCCAGCGTGACGCATAAAGCCCCGATTTCTGTGGCAGAAGCCGCGGTTAATCCTCCATCTGGGTCCGTGCTCCTCCATGGCCCCTTCTCCATCCATCCATCCATCCATCCATCCACCCACATACCCATCCATGCCTGGTGATGTGCTGTTTGATGTTGGGTCTCATGACTGGGGAGGTTAAAGCCAATATGACACGCAAAAGGTGGTGTGAATCATGCAGTCCTCCTCCATACGTGTGTGTGTGTGCGCGTGCATATGTATGTGACTCAACTTCCTGTATGCTCTGAACACTGCCAGTCATGGGTGTGTGTGGGGGAGGCAGTGAGGGTTGCAGAGAGGTTTGAGAGAGAAGAGATGTATGACGGTAAATCCTGTGATTAAGCTCTAAAGTGTGTGTGGCTGAGAGGAGCAGAGAGACTGTACCAAAGCCTGCATGTGCTGCTCGGGGATGGGGGGGATAAGTGGATGTGTGTTGGGTGGGGGGGGTCGATGTCCCTCGGTGGCCTGCCTGTCCATTTGTTTGTCTAGAATGGCCACAGAGTGTTTGCATGAGAATATCTCACTCTGCTGAGGCAGGACAAAGAAATGAGTCAGTGCTTGGTAACAACCACAGAAAGAGGAGATGATGATGATGATGCCAGTGACGGTGGTAACACTTGTGATGATGATGTCGGTGGTATTTTTGTTTTTCTCCTTGTATTCAAGGCCCCAGCCCCCCCCCCCCTCTGAAAGGCTGTGTGAGATAACTGCAGCGAGGATTGGACAGATGTTGAGAAAGACATTAATTCGGTTTGGGATTTCACTTCTGTCGGCTTATGTTTTGACATTTTACGGCTTCACTAAGACAGAAACCCCAGTTTTCTGCAGCATGATCAGCTTCATCCAGAGCTGCTTCAGTTCTTAATGACCACACAACCATGTTGGTGGAATAATAATTTGGTAAACCTGATGTCAACATAAAATGAACACAAGACATTTGACACAGACAGTGCTGAAGCCACACAATGACACTAACAATATACGGACAGGACAATATTACAAACCGGAAACATAATGTCTAATTTGAGTTCCTTTAACATTGTGAAAACATTTCCCTTGATTTCTCAACGAATAATTGATGGGTCTTGATGAAACACATTTTTATGACTGTAATTTGGTGCAGATCCAAACAAAAACAGGATCTAGTGAGTTTAAATGTGGTTTCATAAGTTTATAAGCCTTGGTCAGAGGTATGAACTCTACTTAGTCCCATTGTAATTGAATGATAAATCTGACGTTAGTTGATATCCACTTTACATTTAACATTTTAATTGTAGATAAATTAGCGATTCATATCTCGGTCTTCATTTACAAAGTGGCAGCAGATAGAGTCTTATCTTCTCCTCTGGATGTTTGAGTTTGTCTGTTGCTCTGACAGCACAAGTGCATCATCACTGTTGAGCACCTCTGGGCTATATATAAGTATATACTGTGCAACATCTGCTTTAATACTGGAACAGATCAATGCTAAAGTGTTTTAGTTGTTCCGACAGCATCGGCTCATTCAAAAGGTCTATACAGTCTTAATTATATGTGGCATTATGCAGGATTTGCGCATCACAGAGTGTGATGGCTGCTTTGGTTGATTCTGCACAACAACGTGACCTCTGACTTATGTTCTTATGAGACCCGAGAAGAAAACACAAAACTATTCCGAGCTGAAGAGAGATTCTGTATTTTCTACTTGCAAGTGCATCATGGGAGCGTCAGAAGCCGTCTAGAGCAGGATTCCCTTGTTGTTTCTGCTTCAACCATCTGCGTTGTTACCAGACCTGGATCAACTGGTATTATAAAAAAGAAAAAGCCTGTAGAAACTAATGGAGTCAATCCAAAAACTACCAACCAACCCTGTCACCATCTGTCACTGCAGGCGACACGCTCCACCAGTCTGTAGTTGGTTCCTCTCTCAGCTCATCGGCCTTCACAGCTTCTGAGAATGAGTTTTTTAATAAATAAATACATTTGAAGACAATATACAGTCTTGAAAACCAATGTGACTGCTCTATCACCAGTGTTGACCATACATTACTCTTCTTGGTCCCATTATTAGCCAGGGGCATGTGTTTTTCCCAGATTGCCAGGCTGAGGTATTAGCAAGGTCTTACGGAGAGGCCAGACGGAGTAACTCCATGGTTCCCCAGGTCAAGTTAATACTCTGTACTAATTCACACTCAAAGACTAATTACATGGACGTCTTACATCCAGAGCTGTGTAAGACCGCTGCATAAAATCAGCGGGGTTATGGTTCGGTGTTTGATTACAGCTCAGGAGTCAATCTGCCTGATTAAAAAATGTTTGTTTGGATTTTGAAATCCTTCAGTCGTCATTGAAGGTAGAAGCCCTTGCTGGTAAAAGACTCAAGAATTTATTTTCCTGTCTCAACCCATTGCCTTTCTCTCACTACTAGCAGGACCTTTGCACTAACACAGGCACATTTAAGTCAGTTGTACAAATATGTTTGAAGATTTTCTGCAAGTGTCATTATGCCAGTGTTTAATTTTCCTTATAGCACTATTTTACAAGTGCAACAATGAGCTGTGCACAATTTGAGCTTGACCTGGATAATGAAACCCTGCTGCTTTATGGCTCAAACTAAAGGGTTCCAACTAAACTTCCTTCTTACTTCTGCTGTACTGTATCTTTGTGCAGATGTTGCAGGTGCTTTCACATTCTGTCTAAGCCTTGGGGCAATAACTCAGTTGGAGTAAGCGGCTGCTGCAAACTTCACCAACACATTTAAAACAGTTTCCTTTCTTTGTAACTGAATGTCAAAATTCAACTTGAATGTATTTTGCTCATTTCAAAATGCGTCATGTTTATTGACCTTGTCTCACGTTTCCAGACCCACAGTGTGTCCCTATGGTAAGTCCTCAGTTTGGGCTCAACATAGTATAGTAGTGGGAAAGAGTAAAACTGTGCACATGTCTCCTGTGTCCTTACAACATGTAGTGCTTAAGGAACATGTATGGTTGGTGCCTGTACTGTGACAGATGGATATCTGCTTCTAACCTCCTGCTCCAAGTCAAATGTGATGTCATGAGTAACAGTTAGACATATAAATGTCACCTACATTATTTCCGTGTGACTCTGCTCATATTCCCGTGCAACAGTACGTGCTGAGTTAAAGGGTCGCACACGGAGCATCAATGGGCTTCACCGTGCATCGAGAGCTGCATGCTGTCTTATAGGGAGGCTGCTGGTAACTTAAGTCCTGGGAATTGGGTCAATGCAGAGCGGGCCGGAGCACAGAGGAGGAGGTTAAGCTCAATGATTAGCAACTAAGCCAAGACCACAGTGCTGAAATCTCTTTTACAGTCTAACACTACGCACTACATGCAGGTACAGTGTAAGTGCAATCACAGTATGGACTGACACTGATGTGGGGCACTCACTCCCAGTCTCACACAAGTTCGCACACAGATTTAAACACACATAGTATCATACACACACACACACACACGTAACAATTGATTGAATATTTTACAGTCACGTGTGAATTCATTCAGGTGAACAAATGACTAATTCACAGTTTCATAGTTTGCAAGGTGTCGTATAAACTGGCTAAAAACGTACAGCTCCTGTTTTGGAGCGAATTCTTCATCTTAACTTCCGAAGAGCTCATTTGTTTTCTGAATAGAGATTTTGATTATCATTCATACTATTGTAAACATCGAAGGAAGACTCACAGCGAGCTGCGAGACTGTGACTATGCTCCTGTAGAAGTCTGGATAATATTCACTTTGTTTTATTCAGAATGCCAAGGTGAAGTAATACGCTTCCCACAATCCTTAGATTACAATAGGTCACAAAGGTCACAAAATCTGTCTTGTTTGTTCAACCTCCATAAAAACAACGACTCTCTCCATCACAAAGGCTGAAGCACGACTCTTCTTTGCAGTTTGGTTGCCTGGCAACCGTACAGTGACAACAACATGAGGAATTTCTTTTCTTTGCATCATCAGCCTCAATTAAACAGAAACGATCAGTTATTTGATGCTATAAAAACAGGGTGAAATGTTTGACAGCTCAGACTGACTCATGATTGGTGGAGACCTCCGTACCGCGGCTCCACACTATGATCACTGCTGCACAGACTCTTATTCCAAACTACGTCTAAAGTACAAGTTGGGAGCACAAGTATAATAGATATTAGGATTCATTTTTTGCACAACAGTAAGAAGTGGAGATGCGTTGTCCATCTTTATTCACAGTCTGAGACACACACAGAGAAAAACATATATTCCTTGTCCTGCCTCATTTAGTCTGTGTTGTTTTAGAAAATAAAAACAAATATTTAAGCACATATCTGGAATCTTCATTCATGTGTTTTGTGAATTTCAGCGAGGCAGCAGCACGACTGAATCAAAATTTATTAACTGAACCTCTGCGATCTGCTCAAACCTAATGAAAACTCCCAGGGTCTAAAAATGGCTTTGCTAAAAAACGCAGAATCATCCCTGTGGCAACACACACACACACACACACACACACACACACACACACACACACACACACAAGCACACACACTAACTTGAAAAGCCTCAGCTGATGTGTGCACAGGCTACAGGAAATCTTCTGCTTGACTGCACAGATGCAAAACCAGATCTCTCAAACACACACACACACATGCTCAATCACTGTAACAGTCTGGCAGATAAAGAAACTTCGTGAAGGTTTCTGACATTGTGATGAGTGTGTATGTGAATGTGTGTGTGTGACAGCTGTGGCCAGAAGAGGACGAACATTTCGGAAAAACCTTGAGCTGAAATTGTCGATCCTGTGAGATACCTGTCGCTGAATAGCGGTGTATCCGCATCATTCCAGTATCCATGGCTTGTTTAAAACCCGTTCCTCCACAAGACACCATGGGACCGCTTTGTGGGTGTCTGCTTAATCACGCTCTTGATCTGTTGAATGGCGTCGTGTTTGATGTTGGTTAATGTGCTTCCTTTGTGCCGTTGCGTAAGTGGCTCTCTTGAGGGAAATGATGTGCATGTTTTTGTTAAAGGTGACATTTCCTAGCTCGCTCTGTGAAATAATCGAGTGGCGAAGGCTGGGTTGCATCTATTTTCTGACTCAGGAGGAGAGGAGGCCTGTTTCGGACTGTGCCAAAGCCATCTGCTAATGGAGTTTGGCTGCACTGCCACAGTTGCATTTATAGCATACCATTAATTCATTAAGGAACTGCAGTCCTCTCATTTCCACTAAAACGAACGTAAGAGAGGAGGGAGGAAACGCATTTAACAGGAGTGTCATTATTCTGGAGGCCTGGTGTCAAGGACAAATGATGGAGAAGAGGAAGTACAATGTGTGTGGGTGTGTTTGTGAGGCTGCACCTGTGTGTGCAGTCATAGCTGCTGGGAGAGGGAGGGAGACGGCTAATTATAGTTCAGGTGAAAGAAGGGAGGGAGCGGAGGAAGGGTTTTGATGAGCGTGAATCGTCGTCACGGAGCTGAAATCCCCAGTCCCAAAAAAATAAAAACCAGAGCAGGCACCAAGCAGGGGTGGATGACAGACTGACGGGGCCCAGACAGACGAGCCCCATCGATCAAAACCACAGCGGCCTTAGTTTATTGATCAATCAGCATGGAGACCTGAGGAGCGAGCGAGCAGGAGACAGAGGAGGAACAGCAAGAGGAAGCTGAGGGAGCAGGTCACAGAAAAACATCTTCAGGACGACTACATTAACAGACAGATGCAGAAAGAGAGCGTAAAAAGAATATATGTGAGCGTGTCACTGCTACGAGTGTGTAGCTCTCTGACATGTCAGGTTTACAAAAGGCAACAGTCCATATACCTTTATTTTTAGATATAGCTCGAGCAGAGCTGTCAAAGGATACATCCGATTTATTATAACTTGGGTTGAACCAGTTTTAGTTATGTTTCTATCTCTAATAATAATAATAATAATAATAATGTAAGTTGCTGAGATCAGGGAACACGGCTACTCTGCCAAAAATGCATCAAGCAGATTAAGGAATCCCTCGTTTAATCCCTAGTTACCACTGCGAGGTTCCCCAGTTCACAGACTGTGATGGATCATCTTACCTCACCTGTGACCTGCCTGAGCACTGAGGGATTACTGTTAAGATTTTTAATGCACTCGCTCTCAGTTTTACCTTGAAATACAGCAATTGAGCTCATTTGGATTAACTGTTTCGCTTTTTTAGCCAGAGTCTTATCAACCGAGTGTTCCCCCAGATGTTTGGAAACATTTAACACCTGCTTCAGTTGAATTTTGGAGGCCACACAACAACCTGTAAACACGTCATTGACTGTCAACACAGGAAGTTGACAGGGCCGACCTGTTAGCAAACAGATGCCTGATTAGAAATTCAGCAGACACAGAGCTCAATCAATATCCACTCTGTTTGTGTCCAACTGATCAATATAAACCCAATATTCACTCTCTTTTGGCTCCATCTTTGGTCTCCTCCAACTCCTGAGGGGAAATATCTGCCTCTTTAGCTGCTAAATGCTCAACAATGTTCCAAAGTTAGTCGCAGATGTTTGTCCTCCGTTCGCTGCTGAGCAGGAAACGAACGATCAGGTTTTCTGACCTTTTCTGAAAACAGTCAAATAGCTGCTGCTGGAAATCACTCTGATGGGAGGAATGAGAGTAAAGTTGTGGTTGGTGAAACCAAAACACTGAGCTGAAAGCTGAAAGCTGAAAGCCACATCCATAGTACTACATTCTGGTTTGAAAATGCATCAACTCTGCTACAGATACGCCTACACGCCATTTTCAAACAAGAACGAAGTAGTATGGATGTAGCCTAAAATGCTCTGTGGGGCTGTGACGCACTGCAGAGATGTTTTATAATTATCTTTGGATTCTACAATCCACACATTTCACATGCACTTAGTCATTCGTCATCTGTTTTTATGGGATATGAATTATAGCTCCTTTAAGGAGTAAAAAGTGTGCGTGTGCGTGCGTGCGTGACATAAAGCAGACCTAAGCAGAAGTCCCTGTGCAGCTCTGGCAACTCGAACCACAATTCTTCAAAGTGACTGAAGGCCTCATTAAAGCTTAAAGTTGAGGAACGTTTGTTTCCACCAATTTTGACATTTTTGACTTTGCCCATTAGATAAGCTGTTATGCTTTGTCGGACCAGAATAACAGTCCTACATGTATATGAGCAGAAAACACAGGCTTAGCTGCAAATGATACTGCAGTATAGTGTGTTCATCATGGATATAAACCACTCCTCTGTGTCACCCAGACTTACAGCTATAGATTGACTGTAAAACTCAAGAGGCGCTCCCTGATTCCCCATTTATTTTAAACTCCTTGACTGATATTATCTCGAACCTGGCAATGCAATTACAGAGGCCCTGCCATCAATAGCGGGTTCCAGCAGTGCAAGCATGACAGAAATCCACTCATTCCATCTAGTATTGATGTCAATTTACTGTTTCATTACAGCTGCAGCTTAGAGAGCGGCGCATGATCACAACTGAAGGAGCATCTTATTACGGGACCTTAAAGCAAGTTTAGAAGCGCGGCGGATGAATAATGCAACAACGCGATGCGTAATCGTGCACAGATGCTCGGCAGACACACAAGCACTTACATGGATAGCAATAGATTATGTGTGAGGACATTGTTCGGATGCATATGTATGAGCTGCAGTCGGTAACGCTGAGTGTGAAGATTTGTAGAGTCCTTCAGAGTGCAAGGCCGCTGCTGACTCCCAACCAGAGTTATTAAAGCCTTGAAGGGAAGAATATATATTTTTTGCACTCAGTGTGGATTCGATAGTTCTTCTAGTTTCATTTGAGATTAACCATGATAACCTTGTTGCATGTTCTACCCGCGGTCACGTGGGTTTTCTCCAGGTGCTCCGGCCTCCTCTCACAGTCCAAGGTCATGCAGATTGGGTTAGATTTCGGCTGTCAAACAGGATATGTGGTAGATGATGGATGGATGCACACAGCATGGGTTGGATAGTTCTAGATCATTGTTTTACTTGTTGTTTTTAAATATGCTGTGATACTCCTGATGTCTCTTGTTTGTATTTCCCACATATTCGGAAGGCTTTAAGGTTAAACAGTACACGGTCACTACAGGTAGTTTTTAAAACAAACAGTAAATCACAAGGTTTTATTTTACTCACCATAAACCTGCATTAACTGATTTTGGGGGGAATATGGGGACAGTGCAGGACGGCCGGTTGTGCAGTGGTTCGAACTACCATTACTATTTATTTTTTATTTTCTATTATTTATTTTGACCTTTCACGTGATCACAAATGATAAACATTTCACACCCGACACTTTTCTTCCACATCAGCATTTTAGCTTTAATTTAAATTTACAACGACTGGCTCCATCTGCTGCCTCCACCTCGTGACTGGATCAATAACAAAGGGAAGCACAGCTGAGAGGCAGTGGATTGAATCTGCTGTAGTTGTTGTTTAGTCATATACATATATATACATATATATACAGTATATAAACACACAGTGTGAGGACACAATATTGTACACAGCTGCAACCTAATCCAATCTAATACAGCAGTTCTTTATTATATACCTAAGTAATGTTCTTTTTGAGAGGTGTTGATTCGATTCAGGAGCTGAGAGGGGGCTGTCGAGAACAGCTGATTACTTGAGTCCACAGCAATGACAGCTTTGTGAGACCCACATTTAAATTCTATGATTGGATTTGTAAAGGAGACAACATTTTATATTGAGAAACACCTGCCACTGGGTTTCTGCCAAAGGTTCGGGCTACTTCCATACTACTTTGAAAACATGTGTGGATGAGTCATTTTAGAGGTTTGGTTACAGACTAGAACTAAATGTGTGTGTATGGACGGTGCTGGCGGTTTCCACCCAAACTTTACTATTGTTTATGTGGATTCCCAGTTTGTGTGCAACAAAAGAAGCATTTGAAGATTGTTATGATGTGGGTCAGTATCATGTGTTTGTGTGCTCATTTGCAAACCGGTGTTTGATGTTTGCCGTGTTGTGGGTTTGTGTTCGTATCTACCTCCTGAAGGCCTGGAGATCATCGTCCCAAGGCCTCTGTCTCCTCTGGGGTTTGCCGCAGCTGCTTATGTTGATAAATGAGGAATGTTTCTGTGCTTGAAACTGAGAAACTGTTTCTCTGGGAATGGTATTGATTAGGGAAATGTCTGCGTCAGGTGAAACACTTGGAGCTTCACCAAACTCATCCTCTCTAATTTCTTCTCTGCCTCGTCATCAGACAACGAGGACCATGCTCCTTCAGTTGTGTCCCACCAATGTTTACCCTTATTCCTCCCTCTGCTGCTTTCTGTACTGTCCTTGTACTAAATTGATCCTCTTCTCACACCCCCTCTCATTGCCCCGACCCTCAACATGACAGGTGTAACACAGTCTTAAGCCTGAGGGGGGCAGAATGCCGGAGCAGAGCAACGACTATCGTGTGGTGGTGTTTGGGGCAGGTGGTGTAGGGAAGAGCTCCCTGGTCCTGCGCTTTGTGAAGGGCACCTTCAGGGACACCTACATCCCCACGGTGGAGGACACCTACCGCCAGGTGATCAGCTGTGACAAGAGCGTGTGCACGCTCCAGATCACCGACACCACAGGGAGCCACCAGTTCCCTGCCATGCAGCGTCTGTCCATCTCCAAAGGCCATGCCTTCATCCTGGTCTACTCCATCACGAGCAAACAGTCCCTGGAGGAGCTCAAACCTATTTACCAACAGGTGTGTGTGTGTGTGTGTGTTTTACATACTTTATTATATATTATAAATTGAATTTATAAAATATATTGTGATTTGGCATTTTATATAAATACTTTCCCTTTATTTGTCTTACACCTCCACTACATCAGGAAACTCCTATCATTTCAATTCAGACGTATGTTCTCCCAGGACGTTAACATTATCTTGGAGATCTGTATTTTTTGTGACTTAACTTTCACCTCCGCTGCAGGTCCTGGCCATAAAGGGCAACGTGGAGGCCATCCCCATCATGCTCGTGGGCAACAAGAGCGACGAGACCCTGCGGGAGGTGGAGACCAAGGATGGTGAGGCCCAGGCCAATCAGTGGAAGTGCGCCTTCATGGAGACATCGGCCAAGACCAACCACAACGTCACCGAGCTCTTCCAAGAGCTCCTCAACCTGGACAAGAAGAGGAACATGAGCCTCAACATCGACGGCAAGCGCTCAGGAAAGCAGTCCCGCGCCGAGAGACTGAAGGGCAAATGCAGCGTAATGTAAAACCGGGAGGGGAGGAAAGGGGGGGAGGTGGAGGTGGGAGAGGGGGGAGGAAATAATGAAATAGGAGGGAGAGGAAAGAAAAGAAGGGGGACGAGAGAAAAACACAGACTCATTAAACGTTATCACTCGGAGCTAAATGTCTGGAAGGCCACCGGGGAATCTCATCAACCACATCCTCCTCCATGTGACTGGTGCATTCACAAACACAAAAGTTCCATGCTGGAAAAAAATAGTGGATTGCAGCTCGGAGCTTTACATCCACGTGCATTCTGAATATCGCAAATTAAAAGTAAGAAGCGTGTGTCGCAGAAGAAAAGCTGAGGTGGAAACGGCACTGGGTGTGGACTTCTGCTCACGGAGACCTTGGACTGCGGAAAAGAACACAGACGACAGCATCCCCTCACCAAACCGAAGGATCTACACTAAACATTTACTCTCCTCCCTCCCTTTCCTGCTCACACCTAAACATCCCAGCTTCCTCACCACTCACCCACCTCCTATTATCACAGCTACAGAGAAACTAAATGTGTATGTAACAGAGTCGACAAAGTTAGTTCAAGCCCTATTTTAAGATACACACTGTAGGATTCCAAGGTGTGAGACTGCATCTGACTCTGATGTATATAAACATGGGATATTTCAATTATTCCACTAGTCTCCACGTGCCCCGCCCCAGCTATCGTATCAGTCACAGAAGGTCAGAGGTTAAATTTGTGGCGACAGGACAAATTCACCCATTTTTCTCATCCCGCCTGGAAGACGAAAAACTCCTCGTTACATTTGTCAAGTTGTCTTCAGATCAACAATCTCATGCGCAAACCCTCCTCATCCGAAGTGGAGAGGCATCCAGCGGCCGTGCACGTGCCACCGACGCGGCACAGCGACGTTTCTGAGACTTCATCTAGTGTTGAGTAATAACTGTGGATGAAAGGGAAGCAGGACTCTCATCAAGAAAACATACAAATCTGCCTTGAGGACGATACACTTGGATATTCGTTGCCGAGCTAATAAGACGAAAGCGAACCAGGAGGATTTTTTTTTGGTTCTGTGGAAGAATGTCCGTTTGCTTTGGCACTTTTCATGTGAAGGTTTCTATTTGTTTGCCTTTTTTTTTCTTCTTGTTTTATGATGCTCTTTAAATTCATGTAAAAAAACAAAACAGAAAGCACACAGAGGAAAAAAACAATACTAATGTAATGGATGTAAAAGTGCAGATTATTGAGTGTGACCTGAATCTGTAATTCTGTTTCCTCTTTGTTTTTGTTGGTCACATCACTTCTCATGCGCTTATTAGGAAACAGAATGGGTCAAACACACACACATGCATATTTAAACACACATATAGCATGCGCCTGAATGCATTCATGCAAGAGTTGGAAAAAACACACACGCATAGCTGTGGTTTTCACTTTGAGTAACCATTTGATTTGATGGAGACAAGCAGGCCTCACTCAGCCTAGATGCTCTCACATTGCTCTTAATATCATACACACACACAAACATGTTTTGCCTACTGTATGTTTTAATGATCTCTGCTGAACACAGGATATGTCCAAAGTGCATATACACACACACAGACACACACCTTCCTCTCGTAGGAGCTCTAAAACTTGTACTCTTTGTACACTGGACAGCTAAAAGCACAATACTTTTTTACTGACACATCTGTTTGTTTGTTTGTTTGTTTGTTTGTTTGTATAACATTTTTGTGTGCGTTTCTTTTTTTTGTACACGTTTTTTGAATTTTTTTTTGTCTCGTCTGCTATTTTCCATCTCTAACATTTACCCTCTGGTCCTGAACGTGGAGGAACAATCATCATCATCACCACGATCATACGTAGCTCTGAGTCTCGATTGTAAAATGTTTTATTTCATCATGGCACAACAAGGTTGCGGTTCTGCTGAACAACAGGGTATCGTGATGTCATCCGTGATTCGCTTTTGGTCGTGAAGAAATACGTGCGTGTGACGTAACCCCCTGTGTACGATGGCCGCGGAGGGTCCGATTAATTGTCCACTTCTCTCCATCTCTCAGGCGGTTTTAACAAACGATTTGGAGGATAATCTGCTCCTGTACTGTTGAACCCAAAGACACAGATAATGCCCCTTTTAACCGTGTGTTCATTTGTCTGGAAAAACAAAAAAGAAACTACGAAAAGAAAAAGCACAGCAACTGTCGTCGTCGTCGTCGTCGTCTGTCTCCCTCTGTCTCTATGTGTGCAGCAGAATCATCAACTGGGCACTTTAGGGTGACATTTTACTTGAAGACTTGCTTATTAATCAGCACTGCCTCATTTATAAGCACCATGTAAAATGCCCCTCCTTCATCACTCATGCCCACTTTAAACTATTTCAAATGTGTAGTTACTGTAAATAAGCATAAGGTAGTTCAACGACACGTTAGGAAGAGCTTCAAGTAAGATGTTACCCATGTAAAGAAAACCTGTACCCGCTGTCTTTCTGGGAATATGTCCTCTGTAACCAGGAAATATTGTTACAGTAGGAGGTTCAATGTTGCTATATACTGTAAAATACAGCTTATTAATGATGCTCATGATATATTGTATTTGACACATCCACTCTTCAGATCAATCGGATAATACTAGCAAAATGTGAATATGTAACTAAAGGTTCCACTCCATAGCTTTTACTTTTTTATTTTCCAAGTTGACAATGAATCCGTTGTTATGGACGTGTTGTGTTTTGCACTAATGTGAGGTCCTGTTTAAAAGCATTGTAAACACACCCTTTACTTGTTAGACACCAGGGATGCTCATTCGCACGCTTTCGTTTTGTCGTTTTCCACCGGGTTATATTTCAGAAACGGGAGATCTGGGTTTGTCTTGTGCTCGTTAAGATGGAGTAAAAAGCATTAAAGCTAAAAAAAACAAACAAAACAGAAGCAACAACAGCTGGAAATAACATGTAACATCCCTCAGACTCGCCTCTGGTCTGATCTGATGTGTAGCTACCGGCGGCAGGGTTGCACACGCTGCATAAATATCAGCTTTACACGTCTGATTGCCTCACGCAGAATGGCAGATTGCGAGCGCATGTTTGTGCAATGTGTTGTTCTGCTGACGTCTATACAGGAGACTGTCGCTGCTCATGTTCCTGCGTGGAATATGATACAGCGGGGCGGAAAAACAATGAGGCAGCGTTCGAGAGCGGCGTGCGGACAACAAGCTGGAGCGAGAGGGAAGGGGGCTATTAATAGAAGTGGTGTGAAAATGTGGAGAGCAACTGCACCAACCGTGGCCTGTGTACGACTCGTGTGTGTCTGTGTGTCTGCTGAGTTTCCTCACAAGGCTTGTCTCATCTCATTTGACAATGAAGCATATTCACTGCTGCTGTGTGTGTGTGTGTGTGTGTGTGTTTTGTGTGTTCAACCATGAATGAGTACAATCACCTATTTGCATATTTTGTCTATCACTCTGGCCTGTATAAGTTTGTGTGTGTTTACGTGTGTGTGCGTGTTCGTGTGCTTGTGTGCGTGTGTGTTTACGTGTGTGTGTGTGTGTGTGTGTGTGTGTGTGTGTTGTTGCACCATCTTATCAAGTGTCTGTCAGATGTTTGAAGCTCCTCCTGTGGAGAATGCCCACACATTCAGCATGAGTCATCCTGCACTGCTCATCACACACACACACACACACACACATATGCAGTTGTATGGAAGCTGAACATATAGACTTCATGCACACTTACACACACACACACACACACACACACACACGTTCTATTCACACAGGCCTCATCACTGGCTGTTTTCCTGCTCGTCACTCTCGTACACGTCGCCTCTGCTTCTCTGTCCGCTCCCCTTGAAACTCCCGAGTTTCTTTCACTTCATTCCCTCCCATGTATCTGTGAGTCGCTTGCACTTGAACAGACTGAAGGTCGACACTGCTCACGCCCGACTGTAGATAGTTGTAAATAGTGTTTAAAGGACTTCATATTTCAGAGATCAGAGAGGAGGAGAGCGTGTGGAAGAAAGGAAGCTGTGGGTGGAAGGTTCTGCATTTCTTTCCATAGGGAAAGTGTCCATTTGGAAGCTTGTACTTGGCTCCAGAAGAGAGCTTCTCTATGTCGGCTGCCATGAAAAAACTTTGGTCTGTTTCCAAAGTGTGCTATAATTTTCTCTGCAAGGAAAAACAACAAACTGGCCTTTAAAACAGGACATTTGCAGAGACCCAAAGTGCCCAATATCCGATGAATGAATAGGATGATCACAAATATATATCAACTAATTCTGAAATAATCCAATAAATGTTCAAAACTCATCCTTTCTTTCTTTCATAATAACAAGTTTTTGTCATTTTTATTTAATTCCAGCAGGTTTTATTTCTGACTTCTCTTATTATCATTATTTAAGTGTTATTTTCCCCAGAGGTTTTATTTTATAATCCCACTTTTCATCACAGTCTTTGTTAAAGAAAAGAAAACAAACAAATCCAGTGATGTGATTGGCTGACTGCTAAATCAGACCAAAGCAGCAGCTAATTACACAACAGGATCTTCAGGTTTGCTCTGAACTAAAGTTGCACCGTGTTGGTGTTGTAAAGTAAACGCAGACTTTGGAAGAAGGACATTTGATCTTCAGAATTGCTGGAAAGAAATAAAAATGTCATGTTATTGAGAAACGAAGCAGGATAAAGTGGCATTTGATGAAACTGAAGCTGGATCGCTACCAGGCAAAGTTCACCTCGGTTGTCCGTCGGCCTCAGAGGTCACAGGGGACAGGCTCTTACTGCAGAGGAAGCTTGGTTCACGTGTGTTCTTCCATTGCAGGGTGGGAAACGCGACCATGTGGCGCTGAAACAAGGGGTCGAGTGTAGGACCTGAAAACAAAAATAAAACGCTTTATTTGTCCGTCAGTCTCATTTCTACCAACGAGGGCAGGTCACCGTCCTGTCAGAGGATCTGAAGGAAAATCAGCTCTGGAGGACTGAAACTGAAAGAAATGCTACCACTGACCCCGTTGACCTCTCCAGCTCACCCCTTTACTTCTCGTCTGATTGGCTCAGAGCCTCACAAAAACGTTTCTGCGGACGGGGTGTGGGGAAGGGGCGTAAAGTGGGGGTTTGTGGGTAATGTAGTTTGGTACTATCCTGTCGCTCTGGCTCTTCATCCCTGCATGGTCCCTTATTGGTGTTTCAGCCAGCATGAGAACAAGGACACAAACTGTGAATCATCTTTGTATTTTTTAAAATAAATTCCTCAGCAGCATTTACGGCTTCAGTTTTGCAAATGGTTTATTTCTTTTTAGCACTTGTTGTTTTTTGTAAATTATTGGAAAACAAAAATTCTTC